GTGCTGTTGGCGGTGTCATTGGACATCGCCAACGCATTCAATAGTCTGCCATTCAGCTGCATCAGGGAAGCACTCCACTATCATGGGGTGCCAAAGTACCTGAGGCGGCTAGTGGCAGACTATTTAGAGGAGCGTACCGTCGTGTACGAGGACCGAGAAGGTAATCTGAGGTGTCGGCCCATGTCGTGCGGTGTTCCACAGGGGTCTGTTCTTGGACCCCTCTTGTGGAACATAGGGTACGACTGGGCCCTTCGCGCCGATTTCCCCCCCGGGCTGGGTGTAATCTGTTATGCAGACGATACCTTGGTGACAGCCCGGGGGGCAAACTTCCAAGAGGCGGCGCGCCTGGCCACAGGGGGAGTCTCCCTGGTGGTCGGGCGCATTGAGGCGCTGGGCTTACGGGTGGCCCTAGATAAGACGGAGGCCCTGTTATTTCATGGGCCCCGTCGTGGTCCACCCCCTGGCGCCTCCATCGTGGTCAACTCGGTCCTCGTACCGGTTCGGGCCCAGATGAAATATCTGGGCCGGATCCTCGACGGGAGGTGGCTCTTCGACGAGCACTTCCGACAGCTTGCTCCAAAGCTGGTCGGCGCTACGTCTGCCCTAGGGCGACTCTTGCCCAATATGGGTGGACCCAGCGTCGCGACAAGACGGCTGTACACGGGGGTTGTCCGGTCAATGGCACTGTACGGTGCACCGGTGTGGGCGGCGGCTCTGACCGCCCAGAATAGGGTACGCCTCTGGCGCCCTCAGAGGGTAATGGCGGTCAGAGCCATACGCGGTTACCGCACCGTTTCGACGGAGGTGGCATGCGCATTGGCCGGAACTCCCCCGTGGGATTTGGAGGCGGAAGTGCTCGCCGAAGTTTATCGGCGAGTGGCTGACTTCCGGGCGGAAGGCGGATTTCGCGAAGCCGCTCGCCGAGCCACGATGGCTCGTTGGTCGTTCCGGCTGGAGACTCCACGCGCTGGCTTCGCCGCCGTGGAGGCTCTCCAGCCGGTCATCGCCGAGTGGGCAGGGCGGCAGCACGGGACCCTTTCCTTCCGACTGACGCAGGTGCTTTCCGGGCACGGTTGCTTCGGAAAGTACCTGCACACGGTCGCTAGGAGGGAACTGAGTCCCGCCTGCCACCACTGCGACTGCAGTGAGGACTCGGCCCAGCACACGCTGGCGGTCTGCCCCGCATGGGCGGCGCAGCGTCGGGCCCTCACTGCAGTCATCGGAGTGGATCTCTCGCTACCGGCCGTAGTACGCTCCATGGCCGGTAGCGACAGTTGTTTTACCGCGGTCGCAACCTTCTGCGAGGTAGTAATCTCGCGGAAGGAGGCGGCGGAGAGGGCCCGGGAGGACGACCTCCACTCGGACCCGATCCGCCGCCGGCGAACCGGGCGGCGGAGGCCCGCCTACCACAGCCTCATGCCGCCCTGAGTGTGGCCGCGGGTGGACGGGGTGGGTTTCCCCTCCACCCGCATTAGTTTGGCCAGCCGCGAGGGGGCGGCGTCCGCGTGTGCCGGACGTCGCCTATAGAGAGGAAAAATATATTGAGACGGAGCCCGCACCAGGAGCGGGCTGGCGCTAGGAGGGGTCCGGATGTCTTAACAACAGCTGTTCCCGGATCCCTCCTGTTACAGGCGCAGAGTGGCACACCGTGTGGTTTTAGTCGGTCCGAGTCCGACACACCACCCCGCCGCAAACCCCGGAGGGGTGACGGTCCGAGGGGATTTCCACACGTTAAAAAAAAAAAAAAAAAAAAGGGTTTGTGTCAAGTTTTCCTTCTCTCTGCAGTGCTGTGGTTCTGCGTAGTTTTTTCCCTTAGTCGGCTCTTACGACACCCACGCAATGAATGAATGTATTTTAACCACATTTTAATTTAAATGTGACACTTGTGACTCTTGTCCATGGACGGCGGTAGTCAGTTACCATCTAGTAACCGGTCTGCTCATTTACCCTGTGGAGGAACGGGCGTCATGTCTCTCCAACACAAAGGGAGGATGGTTAATGTTGGAAATTTGTATAAATGCTAATCCGCGTGAGAATTCTTCATATCGCGATACAGGATAAGTAGTTACTCCGTAGTTCGATGTGGCTTCGATAGATGGTGCTGTAGTATGTTTCTTTGCTTCATTCTATGTCGGAAGTCACCACAACCGCCTTTGCCGTACCGTAAAAGATAATAATTTGTAATCTGGTTTATGGTGCCTGTGACACTGAAGGTATTCGTCTTCAAATTTTAAGTTACTGAATAAAACCATCTGCAGATATATTACACAAGAGCTTTTAAGTAATTATTTGTAACAACGCAAAACAAAGAATAAATTACTGTACACTTTTAGAAACAACGAAAAGGCGTATCGTTGGACATAAAGTACAGCTCTAAGAAGGGTTTTAAAAAAGTAATTAAGTTTATGTTGCTTAGTCATTATTCAGGTATTTTACAACAAGAATGTATAAAAGCAATTCAGCTACCTACTTATTTGAGACAAGTATTTCGGGTGTTATGTGTATAAAAGTCAATAATTTACACATTTAGCCTTTTTTTTACCAATAGAATGCAAGATAATGTATTATTATAAAGAATAAGAAATTAATATATAATGAAGAATACTATTCTGAACGTAAATTTTTTAAATTAACGTATATTGCCATATGCAAAATCCTGTCCATTGCACTAATATTTAATTTATATTTTATTACTCTTGCTTTTTTGGGAGGAACATTACATCTGACATATAGAGATGTCTATATTTTCTTTAATAAGACTTTTTATTACATTTCCAAATCACAATGAAACCTTATTTAATGTTTCGTTACGGCTTACTGATCGTGCGAAAGTTGATTCTTTTTAAACAAACTGTAACACCGCGCATATTATTATTATCTAGACCCAAAATAAACACAGATAGCTATTCACCTATCTTTCTATCTATTGTTTGGTTTCAGGTAATTTTAAGCTTCATTTCAGTTTCAAACTTACAAACAAACACCATTACACGTATAATCTAAGGTTGGCTTTACTAAATTTCATCATTAATCTTGCACCTAATTCAATAAGGCTTTAAGGTCTCCTTTAATAGGCTGTGGTATAGGTCCTTTTGTAACTAATTACCAAGGCACGTGCTAATACAAGGTTAACCAATTTGCGGTTTGTCCTTTCGTGAAGTGACCCTTGGAGGGTTGTTTGAGTTTTTGTTTCAATTTGTAATTGTAACGGATGGCATATAGAGATGAAACGATGAGTTGCTAGTCTAGAACTGTTTCAAATTAGTTACTTTTTGCAATATTAATTTAAAATACATTCGATAAAGTACAAAGAAAACTATACTTAAATTTAAGGTAATAAAGACTACACAACTTAAAATTTTGCAACATGAAAATTTTTAAGCCATCCCTAAAACTCTTTTAGAAACGGTTTTTATTAAAAACTAGTTATCTAATTAATACTTTGGATCCAAGATTTTTTAGCAAAAATAAAATAAAGAGTCTAATAACATTTATTGTGCCATCTGTGAGATAGCCAGTAAACTATTGCCGAAATTGACATAAAAGTTTAATGCTTTTTATACAGATGTCACTGAAAAACAACCAAATTTCAATGTGTGAAAAAACAAAAGTTGCTTAACGATATCGTTATATAATTTGCTACTAGATGTCACTTTTGCAAAAAAAAACTGTATTCTGAAACTATTTTTAAAATTTTTAATTGTTTTAGTTACTTTCCAGCTAGAGTGAACACCTGCTTTGAAATAGTTAAGCCCTGACCATACCTCCATCGTACAAATCGCAGCCCGAAGATTCGTTCTTTCATTGTAATTTTTTCTTGTATAGATGTTTATCTTAGTCATTCCTATTCATCCCGTGGTTGTCGTAAGAGCCGACTAAGGGCGCAAACTATGCAGGACAACAGCACTGCAAAGAGAAGGAAAACTTGAAACAAACCCTATATGAACTCGTCTGGCCAGCGTGGTATAGTAAGCCAAAAACTCCTTTCTAAGGAGAGGCCTATGTCCAACAGTAGTCTGTTATAGGCTGTTGATGCTAATAACATTTATCAACAACAAAATTATCGTCGTAATTATTGCCAGTGAAGTTCTAAAACAGTATTTGTGTTAATCTTTTTTAAGTCAAAAGTGTGTAATTTATATATAAATCAGTATTTTACAGGTGAGCGAACTAACTGAATGCTTAGGCTAGTTTATTTTACATCTACTCCATAGCAGCGGTGAGCGTGTTTGGCACTGTGCAATCACAGATGCCTGCGCTGGAATCTTCACCAATCGTAAGGCCAACGTATGGCAGGTACATGAAGATGGAATTAGTTATTGTAACATTTTTCTTTGACAAAGTGTACTATGTATACTCTCTTAACTGAGTGTCAACAAATCTCATTTTGTAGATTACAAATCCAAACCAAACAATGCAATGGAGTGACTTACACTGTTTTGAATATGTCGGTTTACTTACGCAGTGTCAGAGAGAGAGATAGATACATTGAAAAATACGTCGCCATGGATGGATTAACATCTCTGTGGCGACTCCCACACACGAAGAAACAGAAACATACTACAGCGCCATCTAACGGAGTCACACCGAACCCACTGTGGTGAAAAGGGTGTTATGTCCCTCTAACACAAAGAGAGGATCCTTCGGAGGAGTCGCCACATCTCTTTTTGAGAGCTCGAAACCAAGCCCACGATGTTCCTTCATCGAAGGGTAGCAAAATGTTAAAACAGCAAAATAATGACTGACACACTGCTGGAACTTCACTGAAATTATGTACGTGTACAAATTACTGCGATTATATAATAGATATTATAAAATCAATATACCCATTTAATGGCTTATTATCTTTGACCGAAAAAGTTAAAAAAAAATGTTTTTCCAGAACCGTTTATTCCATACATAAAAATATTTTGGTTAACAGAACCACTGAAAATATTTAAACAATTAAAGTTAAACAAAGATTCTTAAAAATTACATTACTAAACCAGTAGGACTGAGAGCTAAAAATATTTCTCTAGAGGTTCTCCTAAAATCTGCTCAAGTTTTCTGATGGCATCCTTTGTAGATGTTTCTATTCTGGAATCACCATCTTCTAGTAATTCCGCCAAGAATGGTACACTTTCAGCGAGAAGAGGTAGCCAACTGCTTCCTAGTTGTGTTGCCATGGCAACGAGACAGTCCAGAGCTAGTAACCTGTGAATTACAAAAATAATAGTGTCAACAAACAAATAACATAAATGCCGTGAAGATATGTGAACTTAAGGAAGATAATAGAAATAAAAGCTTCTTATTTTCCCATTAATACGAGTATTTAGTAATATATATCTATAAAATAGGCAGACAACAATCGAACCCGTGACCCCAGGCGTTATAGCCAAATTCACTACCGCCTTTAAAAAAATAGCGTACTCCTTCCTCAAAGGCCGGCAACGCGATTGTAACTCCAGAGTTGCAGGCATTCATAAGCCGCGGTAGTCACTTTCAGTCAGGTGACCACGGTCTGCCATAAGATAGAAACTAAGCAAATACCAACCTTATCTCCGCATCATTATGTCTCGTTTTCAACAATATCTGGTAATTCAACAGTTTCCATAAGGAATCATCAGCCGTCGCAACTGCAAACTGAGACACGCAAGGGATAATGTACTCTGTAGCCCTTGCTTTAAGGCTCTCGATACCACCTAAAGTATTCTCAAGCTGATCAACAATTGGTTGCATTAAGGTCTCAAATCTGTCTTTGTTCACGAAGCTTTGACTGTCGTAAACAAAAACGGTGTGAAGAGTTTTGATGATATATCTGATGAGCATAAGACATTTTTCTTCTGAGTCAAAGTACAGATCTTCGGTTTTGCTATTATTACAGGCATCGAGGAGTTCTGATGCGTTTTTCATGAAGTGACCAGCGAATAGTACGAAGAGAGCCTTAAGCTTATCAGCAATTGCACAGCTCAACCTGAAGAAAGAAAGAGATTACTAAAAAACAGTGACTCAAGATTTTTAAAAAGTATAAGATAGTAAAATAATATTAGGTGCATTAATTTAAATGATATTAAATAAGTAAGTAAGAAGAAACTCGTATAAAACTTGCTGGAAAATAATCCTGAAAAGACTTATAATACTTTTTCAAAAACTGTTATTTTAACGTGAAACACAGAAATTATTTAGTAGGATAAAAAGCTCACCTGTAGAAAGTAATCGTCTTCTCTTTGTACCCGCCGACATTAGTTCTTATTGCAAAGTCGTAAATCTTGAAGTAGAACGGCCTGAAACTACTCTCGGACAACTTCAAAATCAAACACACTAATGCATTCACAACCTCATCTTCTGCTCGGTCAACAACCTGAGCATCTACGTTCATGTTTACAGAGTCACTTCGTAGTTGCAACGCTGTCAAGAAGAACGTTGTCAAATCTTGTTGCAAAGCTCTGAAGTCTGCTGTAGTCACATTCGCAAAGCTGTCGGCCAAAACAGACATTACAGGACCAACAGCGGCAAAGTTTTCTTTTTCTAGTAGCAATTGATGAGTGGCACTAACTACAGGGATTAAAACTCTAGGTGGAATAGATCCTGCAATTTTCTTTTTGATATTTAACAATTTCGCAACTATAGCTGCAACTTTGCTGCAGTCTTGATCTTGACTTTGCCATTTTGCTAACAAAATCGAATACTCGTACAAGATCTTTTGCAAATATGGACTCAAAAATAGTGGTAAACTTTCAATAATCTTCGAAATTGCTGTCACTGTACTCAAAAGTACCAATTCTGGAGTCTCAGACTTCCGTTGCTTCTTGAGGACCTTAATCAGAGCTGGCATATACTTTCTAAGACTAGACAAAGCATGGGCTTTAAGATTGCTGCATAATTCTGCCAGACATAGCACTACTGAAGCCATAACATTACCAGGTATATTTGGATTGCAAGTGTAATTTGTCACTGTTTCGAGAACACTCTTGAAAGGTTCGGGATTTTCAGATGCAAGCATTTTGGTTAACAATTTCAATGATAGTAAAGCAGTTTGTTGATTTAATTCTAGCTCTTGAGCGGCAACTTCACTTAGGCTATCGTCTTTTGTTTCTATAGTCTTTACAATATCTAATAACGGAGGAAGTAGAGAAAATAGCAACTCCTTGTCTACATCTTGGAATAGTTCGGCACTGAACTGTATTTTGGAATTCAAAAGCTCCATTGACTTTCGTCTCACTGTCTGTAATGTATGCTTCATTAAACCCCTGACTACAGATAAAAACATAGGGGCTGATAATAAGTTGTTAGTATGATCTAACAAATCATAACTATGGTGAAGCATCACACGCCAATACTTGGCAGTTTTTTCGTCTGTTACCTTAGATATTGTCTGAATGAACGTCAGTATGTTAATAATAAAGGACTTGTAATGAGCTTCCATAAGTTTTACGTCTGTCGCCTGACTGTTGTGCTGTATAAATCTCGATGAAGCCAAACAGGTATTCATAAACGTAACTATGACGTACTTATAATGACGTAACTGTATTGGAGTGTGTCCGTTTACACTGAATATATCTCCAGGATCCACATCGGTATCCATTGCATTTTCATCCTTGTGCAAGGGCAAAGACTTAATGTACGTAACAAGTTTTATAAAGTTTTCTAGCGCAATTTCTGGTGAAAACTCTAAAAGTATGCTTTGTCCAAAATCTAATCTGTTTACAGGAGATTCTTGGTCTGCCAAAGACCGAACTCTTTGCTGTGGTTTATCTTTCTTTTTATTTTCATTGAAATGTGCGACATGCGTTTCTAGGAGTAAAGCCAAGAATACCCAAAGGAATTGACTAGGCCCAAGAGTCTCTATTAATTTTTTAAAGAGTGGTAGTCGTCTATGTTCTGGCACATGCAAAACGACATCAGCAAAGATTCTCAGGACTGGAACAACTCGACCTTGTAACTGTTGTAATTCTTTCTCCGAATATTCATCAATATCTTTTTCCAGTTTCACTAGAATAGGAACTAAAGTTTCTATAATTTTTGTTATTATTTGGAAGCTGTAGGCATCATCGTGCCTTAGTACTGAGGATCCCATAAAAGTGAATATTTCCATAGTGTGGTGGAGAACTTGTTCTGGTAACATGAATGCTGCATGAGACAGTAGAATCAAGGCATGATGGTGAGTTTGTGGATTTTGGGTTCCTCTGATGCATTGCACGATTAATTCGACATTAAAAACAGATTTCAGAGACTTCATTTGATCCTTGTCATTTTCATTTACAAACTTCTTACAGAAGTACCAAAGTGATGACAGAATGAGTTGTTTTGTATACTCTACGTAAGATTGTTCTTCGAACCTTAAACATTTGTTCAATATTTGGAAAAGAAGTGACACAAAGGAATTGTCCAACTTCATTTTCTTTTTGCTCTGTACGTATTCAAGAACCGCTACACCAAGCCTCCACTCGTCAGTTTCCGTTAATTGATAAGACAACATTGATACTGTACTTTTCTTTTTCCTCGGAACATTTGCAGCTGGATCAACAACATTTAACATATTTTGTAAAATAGGTTTGAAATGGCTGAATTTTAGATGGATTCTCTTCATGACTTTTGAAGCCACACTGGATATTGTTGGATTATTGCTTACTGCACCTGCAGAAGCAATCAAATGGACCAATCCATTTGATCTTTCTTCTGGTACTTTATTGAAAACGTTTTCATCAATCTGTTTCATTATTAATACTGCAGGACTGACAAATGTTTGATCTTCTTCTAAAATACACCCTCTAAATACTCTCATTCCTAGTTCTACTGATTTCCAAACATCATCTTTTGCAAATGTGGAAACAGTGCATTCATTTATATGACTGTAGACTGTTTTGAACATATTTGACTCGTAGATGTCGAACGCAAATTTGAGATTCAACTCATTTTCTTTAAAACTTTTCTCCAAGCTTTTTAAAGCCTGTATGAAATGTGGGAATGTGGTAACATTGCTGACTCCGCTTAAAATTTGAAGGAAGCTAGATTTAATATGCGAAGGTACCTCAGAGTGTAGTATGTTGGTAAGTTTCAAAAGACAGTTGCGACTAAAAACTTTCTTTTGGCTTTTTTGTGTCAGTACTGTATTTAGGACTTGCTTAATCTGATTATGATCAAGTGTCAATTCTTCTTCATGGACCATCAATTCTTCAAAAAGCTGTACATATATAAGGCTTTTATCAGGTTCCTCTCTTAATAATTTACACACAATATCAAGAGCACATTCTCGAATAACAGTGATTGGATTGTTCAAGCAAAATAAAATTGTTAAAACTAATACATCAGAATCAAAGAGCCAATTGGCTTTTTGTTGAGCAGCAATAAAATTTGACAGTAATTTTAGACTTCTGAGCTGAAGTTCCGGTCCTATAACGTCCTTAGGATCCGCTGCATAAAGAATATGCCCACAGGCGAAATTAGTAATGAACTCAAATTTTTCTTGAGCATTTTTGAAGAATTTCTCCAACAGCTTTTGAAGTAATACTACGTAATTTTCGCCATAACTTGGGATGGCGCAACCAATCACACAGATCTCGTAAAGTCTCCTAATAAGAATGGTTTCGGCAGACTTACAATAATTACACCAAGGTTTTGTAATATCTTTGATAGCCATGTTGTCAATAACTTTGGAGAAAATGTATTCAATGATTTGGAACAGCATGTTATTCTGGCGTGACAACTTAATGAATTCTGGCATGATTCGGCTAGAGAAAATCTGACCTTCAGAGCTGTGAACTATTGACCTGCTTTCTACAGATTCTAAAAGCAAATTTAATATTGCGGATGCTTCGTCAACTGATGCATTTTTGAATGAACTAATTTTTAGTAGCATATAGAAGCAGACATCTGAAGTATTACTTTTTTTTAAATGGAGTTCATCCAGTATATCAGAAAAATTGATTTGTTTATCAATAAACGATGCACTGAACATTATATCACAAACTTTTTCATGATCGTCTTTGCTTGAGCCTTTCAGAGTTTTCGTTATATCAGCCAGTCCTATCTTTTTGCCCCAGTCTGAATGTATTATTTTCCATGTAAGTTTTGTAGATTCTTGGTCGTATGGGAATAGGAATGGTACCAATGCTAACACTGTTTCCTGGTTAACAGGTAAGATTTGGATGGAACAAAACTTAAGGATAGCCTGTTTTACAATATTTTTCCATTTCTTTGAACCCTTGCTGATAATAGAAACGAAAACATTTGTAGCATCAATCTCATTGAAAATGTCTTTTAAATGGTCGGTTGGAATATTTAAAACTGCACTAACTACTTCTGGATTATCGTCATTGAATCTGTTAATGACAGACTCCTTTACAAACTCAGCATTTTCCTTTGTTAAAGATTCAAATTCTTTACAGATGTATTTGACAGCTTCTATTCTTAACTTTGCATTGACATGGTTTAAGTTCTCAAAGAGATATGTACCACCGACCTTGTGAGCAATTGCCGGTTTGAATCCTAATAGTTTGGATAACTGACTTCGTCTATTCTGTGAGTTTTTGCTATTGGAACTCATTTCTTCTTTGACAACTTTGTCGAAGGCATCTGGATACTGACGCTCCAGAGTCTTCAAAAGTTGAGCATACCAGGTAAAACTTTTGCTTGAGGAGTCTTCTTCTTCAATTATTTCTATATCACTCCCATCATCACCTCCTGTGTCGGCGGTTTTTGGACGAAATTTATCAAGGATACACCTAAAAATAATAGCTAAGTTATTCACATGGTGGTTGGTTCAAAAAAAATACAGAAGTTCCAGACTTTAGTTTAACAGCCTGTTTAGATCTTGGCAAGACTAATAAATTACATTTGTGTCAGGCATGGCCCCAGGAGATAATTAAATTTAAAAGAAAAACTGTAAATATTAATTAAAGTAACAAATGATTCAGTAAATTAGTAGGCAGTGCCACACTTATATTAGGGGGCATTTAAGTATTACTTAAGCACTAAAGATGACAGGAGTCTTTGATTTGCTTTTTTAAATCACTATAAGTTAATATCCATACTATTGTTATAAATGCGAAAGTGTGAATGTCTGTCTGTCTGTTACCTCTTCAAAATTATTGCTAAACCACTTTAGCTGAAATTTGGTACAGAGTTCATCCGTGACCCGGGAAAGGACAAAGGGTAGTCTTTATCCTGGGAAACATCCTCAAAGGGGTGAGAATGGGGGTATAAGTTTGTATGGGGAATCAATAACTGCTCAACCGATTTAGATGAAATTTGGTATGAAGATACTATGATTCTTGAGGAAAGACATAGGTTACTTACAAAAGCTAGTACACTATAAATTTCTTATTTCGAGACTTGTTAACTGCTGCTCATGAACCAATAAGGAAACCAATAGGAACAGTTAAAAAATTACTGATATAAAAGGGGGGATAAGAGGTTTGCTTACTTTCATTGATGTGGGGGATGGATTGGTCAAAAATAAAAAAAACAGCTTACGTAAAAATTAATAAAGTTAATAATAGCTTACAATATAAATAAAACATAACCCAACTTCTTTTTTTTTTTGGATATGAATACTGTCTAAACAGGATACACTTAGGCAAGTGCTTTTAAAAGAAAAAGAGTGAAATACTATGTAAATATGCTTGTAAATTATATTTCTAATTAACTGTTAGACATTGACTTACTTGATTATCACATTGGGCTTCTGCTTCTTCAAATCTACTTCTTTAATGAGTATTTCAGGCAACTCCCAATATCTCCAGAACTCCTCTGTCTGTGTTAGTGGTAATATGCTTGATAAGAATGCCAATACAAAGGCATGAACTACAACACCTTTGCCAACCAGTTTCTTCAGATGTCCACAAAAAGAATTCATTAGGTCTACGGACATATCGTTTAGAATGTCTTCAGATATCCGTGTCACATGTTTCTGATTCTCATACAATATAGTTATTAATAGAACTACATCATAGGACAAATCAAATTCTGTAGTTAATAACTTATGAACTATTTCATTAAGAGTGTCAACTTTTAAACTTGTCTTTGTGAACAAATATCCAAATACAATGTAAGCAGATGCCCTGAAGTCCGCAATAGGTGACTCAATGGCTGTGATCAAAGTCGGTAACAGTGCATTGATAATTGCTTCTGTAACCTTTGAACAGCTATCAATAACACCAATAGCTGTCTGACAGAAGAAAGCGAACACAGTATTCAACTGTGTTGCCCTCTCACCAAATTCGTCAACATATTTTAATGTAGTCTTTGCTATAAAACGCAATGTACCAGTGTTTGATACGCATTGGTTAAACAACACTTGATTGGCTAAAGCAATGCCATTATTGTGAATAGGCTGCAACCAATTCCATCTGTTGTTGTTAGACGAAATATCCATGAGTTGAATAAAACGGATGAATATCTTAGTACCATGGTAAGGCATAACCAGGGCTATGATAGCATCTTGGTTGTACTGATGTATATGGAATCTGTTGACCAACCATTCTAATGCTTTATGGGAAGATTGCAATAGGAGGTAAGGCGATAGTTGTAGAAGAAACTTCTCTATGGTTTGATCAAGGTTTTGATTTACTTCCTTTGACTGTATGGCCCTTTCAAAATCCTTCGATGATAAACTGTAGAGTGTGTCTTCAAAGACACGAAAGCCTTCATAAAGAGCAATCAGTTCTTTCAAACCGCTAAGACCGATTTCATAGAAGGTATCACGATCTTTTGATGCTGCATCTTTCGGGTCAAATAACAATGATACTGTTTTAGAATCATCTTTGTAAACAGTTGCTTGTGGTACTGACAACTTTTTCAGTTGTTCAGCTAATGATGTAGGTGGCATTTTGGGTTAATATCTGAAATAAGCCGGTAAGAAATATCATTAATAACAGGTTATAACTCAACATCAACACTAGAGAGTTGTATAAATAATGTAGAATAATCACAGTAATATCTACTATTCTTTTCGCAGTATCACTATTTATCAACAAGTATGACAATAATTATTGCAGAAAAAATACTGCACGTGTTATAATTTACGATCCACACACTTGATAAAATCATGTCATTAAGAGTTTAACACTTATATATACAATGTAGAACATGTGCAATTATATGTACCTTTTCTCCACGGTATAACTTTTTGACAATAAGTATGGACAGTAATAATTGTTTAAAAAAGAATGCACGTGTTTTTGTTTAGGTTTACGGTCCTCACACTTGTTAAAATCATGACACTGACAAGTGACTGACCGAAGAGTTAATAGTAAAAATAACATTTACGTTCCAGTGTTGCCAACAGTTAAATTAACTCTCCACCAGATTCAAGCACCGAATAACGAAAAACGGCTCTACTCTAATGGTAAATTAAAACTTCTTTAACCGCGTTGACCAATTTATTTTTGGTAGGGAAAAAACTTACGGGTTCGCGTCCCCGATGAGCTCGATATGTTCGTGATATATTGCGCCCGACTAGCAAGCTTAGTGGTATTGTTTTAAGTTTTTACTTCTGTCGACAGTTCCTATTACCGTCGTATGAAACATAGTATAAAATAAAGTTGGTTTTGGTCTTGTACGCTTAGATTTTAATGCGGTTTTTACCAAAAAAAAATAGTGATTTAAGAGGCAGGTTTATATTTGTAATAGATATATCTTATAATAGAGGAATTCAAAAAATTTGTAATCCTTAAAAAAACAACTTTTGTGCGCTTGTGCAAACGCTGGCAAATCCTTACGAGATAGACCAAAATAATTTACGACGAACTTGTATATCTTAAAAAGATATACAAAAAAGTCTGCGATGGTATATGCCTATCTATTAAGGATAACTATTTTTATCTTTTAAATGTCTTTGAAACAGTACATTATTATTCCTTTTCCAATTAAATACGTTAGATACTTTGTACATTTAATTTAAACTAATGTAAACTAAATAGTGTGTAGTTTAAAAAGGATTTTTTTAGGGATAGTAGAGGTTTAAAATGCTTGACAGAGCGGACCTCGCGGCTTCGTTCGGCATAGATGGCAGCAGCTGGCAGGATCGGAGCGGGCCCATAAATATTGCATAATATATAAAGGTCCTGTAGTATAGTCCTATCATAATAGCAATATAATTAATTACTCCACACTGACACAATATTAATAGTACAGTACATTGCACCTGTAATAATTCGCTTTCTTTCTGGTTATGTAATAGTAACAAACAATAATAAAATCAGCATACAAATAGTAAAGCAATAAGTCAAGATCAGGAGCATAAAAATTATTCAATAACAAAAGTTACTTACTTCAAATTAATTCGTGTTCTTCAAATGAATCGTTTTTGTCTGCACCATTAGCGTTTTCAGATTAATATGATTTATTGGTACCGATTTGTTTTACAACATTTATTGGAATTTCATATTTGTTGCAGAATTTTTGACGTGACAACGTCTTATAATTCGATGGAGCCGGCTGCACGCACGAAAAAACATGACTCATGCGGCGTTACCTCGCTCTGAGGCGTTCCATTTAAGGCGTGAAGTGCAAGCGAGAGCGCGGAACGAGTGACAAAGAGGCACAATCGGCCTCCGCGTTCGCCAGCGTTTGACATCTGTCTCTCTCCTACTTGAGTGAGCGATGCGTCCGCATGGACAGCTGCTACTCGTATACAATAATACATTTTTGAAAAATGCAACCATTCCATCAGTATTTTCTTATGACGTTGTCACGTTCAACTATCGTCAGTAAACCGACTTTACAGACAACCGACTTTTTTTGACGTGACAACGTCTTATAATTCGATGGAGCCTGATGCACGCACTAAAAAACATGGCTCATACGGTGTTACCTCGCTCTGAGGCGTTCCATTTAAGGCTTGAAGTGCAAGCGAGAGCGCGGAACGAGCGACAAAGAGGCACAATCAGCCTCCGCGTTCGGCAGCGTTCGACATCTGACTTCCAGTATTTAGAGAGTTCCTTAACATGTTGAGAATTGGTAGACAACAATGGACCGAGTTTCGAAGGACCATTGGTTTGAATGACACCAATCTTCATTTCACTTCTGTTACTCATCGAAAAGGATCATCAAACCAAGAGTCCAGGAATCAATCCAATAGTTAGCATTCTAAATTATGTCCTCGAAATTATAGATTATTGGCTTTTTCAGTTCAATCTCCATCCTTCCTTTATTTTCAAAGGTTCTTGAGGTTTGCGTACACAAACAATTCTCACAGTTCAACTTTCAACGTCCTCTACAATCTTACAATGTATTACTGCTAAACCACTAGAAAAATCCAAAGGAAACCACCAGTTATTGTAAAAAAAAATAGTAGGTAGGCAACACTGGCACGCTAAGCCTTTTCAATTGCCAGCTTGTCGTATTGCCACTTCCAAAAAAAATTAAGGGATATTAGCAAAAAATGGAAAATTATATTAATATTAAACATAAATATATAAAACAGGACCAGTGGCAACAAAAGTACGGGAATAGAAAAAGGGAATGGAATATCGATAGAAACTAAAGAAATTATGATATTGGAAAAGAGAAAAGAAGAAACTTTAATCCTGATTTCAGATTCACTCACACAGATGACTGTTGATAGTACGGAATCAAAAATATTCTAGAATAATTGTTACCTTTATAACGACATGATTCTGTCCCAAAATTCTCACAAAAATCGTTTAGATGAACATCTGTAACAGAATGTTTTGAAGCATCTGTTAAAATGTAACGAAAATCGCTTTATAATTCTCTTTTATACCGTTGGTTCCTGATATAAAGTATGGAAACAACGAAATGTTAAAAGGTGAGCCAATATTGCTGACAAAGATGCAATGCATGCACAATCCATTTATTCATGCAGTGTTTAAAAAAATGACTTGGCTTCCAACACTGGGAAATAATTTTCAATACATTTCATCGATTTGACTCATAGCGCTTAGAATCGAAATCTAAAATTGTCAGTTGGTTATTGCCTGTATAATGTAAAACATCTTTTGTGAAGAATTACAAAATTTCGTAATTGTGTAATTTTTCGTTCCTAAAATAACTTTTACCACTTTTGACAGGTTAATTCATGTTTGAGTTGTTGAAACATTAGAATCGATTTCAAATCGAATTGCCCTCAATCAGTTTGAATTGAACAGTCGTCAACCTTTGTTTGACGTATTTGTAACAGATGATCATTGTTTACAAGTCTTAAGGATTTTGCGCATTATTTGCGTAAATATGTGACATTGAAATTTATCAATAAATATGTATTGTAGTAATTACATATATATATGACATTAATAAAGAGTAAATGAGTTTAATTCTAACGTATATATTTTGTAGATCTTTTAGTAAGTGTCTGAACTTCATGGTTTAAAGTTCTTTGTTCTCGAAAATGGCATTGAAGATCACAATTTTGTATTTTATTTTATGTATTACTTCTATTATGTGCTATAAGCCTGTAGTATTAATTCATGGAGTTATGACTGGCAGCGCAAGTATGGAAATAATTAAATTAAGAATTCAGGAGGTGAGTTCTTTTACTTATTCAGGAATCATGTTTGCAATCGTAAGTTCACTTACCCAATGCTATTGACTGAATGTTAAATTAAGTACTGAGTAATCAATATACGGGTTGAGTTACCAGCAAATTAATAGCAACAAGAGTTACAGGGAGTAATATATCTCGTATTACTCAAGTTTTGATTGTTTTTAATATAATACTAGATTTTGCTCGTGGCTCCACCCACGTGTGCGGTAAAAAGTAGCCAATGTTACTCTCTGAGAAGGTAGCTTCCATTGGTGAAAGAATTTTGTAATCGGTTTAATGGTTTAGGTGTAAAAGCATAACAAACGAACAAACAAACAAACTCACTTTTACATCTATACTAATATTATAAAGCTGAAGAGTTTTTTTGTTTGTTTGAACGCGCTAATCTCAGGAACTACTGGTCCGATTTGAAAAATTATTTCAGTGTTAGATAGCCCATTTATCGAGGCTATAGGCTATATATCATCACGCTAAGACCAATAGGAGCTGAGCACCAATGAAGAATGTTTCAAAAACAGAGAAAATTTATTACTATTGAGAGACGCACACGAAGTTGCGCTGGTCAGCTAGTTTATAATATAAGTATGGGAGTATGAATAAAGTACCTAGTTTGTTAGCCATAAATTTAAATTATGAAACTGTTTAATGCTTTATAACTCTAACTACTTATCTCATAATAATAATAATAATAATAAGCCCTTTTATTCTGAATTAACTAAATTCATTATTAAACAGTTCATAAGATTAGTCTATAAAATATCTCGCAATTCAGAGTGCCTCTTGGCATAGGCCTCCTCTAGCACTTTCCATTGGGTTCTGTCTTGCGCCACCCTTCTCCAGTGGTGTCCAGCTGTTAGCCTCAGGTTATCTCATCATCATTATCATCATTTAAAGACGAACAAAAAAAGATATAGGTGAACAATAAAATTTTAATTTCCTCAGAATTAAAAATTTAAAAAACTCAGAAAGCAACTTTTATGTTTAAATCGACGGACCCCCTTAATTCGACGGACGTCAATGGAAAGACGTATCAAATTTTATTCTGAAAAAAGGTATGGTTTTTGAGAAAAAGTAATGAAAAAACCTTTAAAGGGAGAAGCTGTGGTCAAACCCGAATGACGGATAACTGTATGATGAAAAGTTCTCATTGTCAGTTTATTTAATGTGAATAGCCCATCATATTCAATAGATTATTGAAAGGCATTGTTTTAAATGACCTAGAGCTACCCTGACTTACTGATAACTGAATACAAGGGTTATCTCTACAATGATGTTCCTAGTACACTTAAGTCTATTTATACTATAAATAAATATATTTATTTCATCTCCACAACAACTTACATTTTATAGTTGACAAGAAAATTGACAAGAAATTCAAAATTTGTGGAAGATCTGGAGTCTAAACTAAGCCGAGGCTTGTACTATAGATCTCCAGGCCCCCATTACATAACAGTTTATAGATTTGTCAACATGTCAGAAGCGTACATGAGTGTGTGTGAAAAACACACACTCATGTACTCTTCTTCTAAACAGTAACAAGTTTTATTGTACAAAAATGATATATACGTGTGGTTGCCCATGTGTGAGTGTAGTTTGTGGGTGAGGGTGTTTAAGGACATGTTTTTATAGAATATCAATTTTGCTTAATTCTTGTATGTTATATGTAGATAAGTTGAGTGAAATAAGTTCACTCATCAGCTTTATCTGTATGAATATAACTAAGATTCGTCCCTTCCAAGACATCTTGGACAGTGTCACTATAATATCACTAATTTTATATTTAGTAATAAAAAATTTAGATCCCTTTGGTTATACAATCAAGAGAAGTACAGTATGTTGATGAATATACATACTTGGGACAAATTATATGCTTCAATGATCAGACGAAAAGAGAAGTTGAAAGTCGCGTAAAGAAAGCTTGGGCTAAGTATTGGTCGCTCAAAGAAGTATTTAAATCGAAACTTCCTGTCAAACTAAAGAAAAAAGCAATGGATACTGTAGTTTTACCTACTTTACTGTATGGCTGCCAAAGCTGGGCGCTTACAAAAGAAATAATACATAAAATTAGAGTGTTCCAGTCTGCGACAGAAAGAAGCCTGCTAGGTTTTTAAGCTAAGCGATCGAAAACGAAACACCGACATAAGAAAAATAACTAAAGTCATAGATGCCGCTGAGGTATTATGCAGATTGAAATGGAGATGGGCTGGACACATAGCGAGAACAACCAATGGACGATGGAGTGAGAGAGTCCTGCACTGGTACCCACGAGATGCAGTTAGACCACGCGGCAGGCCAAAACGACGATGGCGCGACGATATCGTGGCCCTTGCTGGGCCAAACTGGACGAGACTAGCCAAAAACAGAAACCTATGGTCAGAAATGGAGGAGGCCTTCACCCAGAAGTGGGTTCCCCTTTAAAAATTAAAAATGAAATAGAGAAAATGAAATAAAGTAAGAATCAAATAAATAAATAAAAATAAATAAAAAGATATACCTATGTAAATTCTACAAGTGAAGTGAAATTAGTTTGTTGTTATAAAAATCTACCAAATGTTTTATTTGTTATGGGAAATAAAAGGCTTTTATTATTATTATTATTATTAATAAAAAATTTCAAAAGATTGTAGGCTAAATACTAATTTTACAAATAAGGAACAGTTAAAAAAATAAGTGCGTTTTATTTTTAATTATTATTGTGTTTTTGTGATTTAAAAGTCTTTTAAGAAGCAATTTTATAAATCTACTTCTTCAAACATAGCTTTTTGGAATTTACCTGTTTTCATTTTATTTTCCAGAAACATCCAGGCACAATAGTGTATAATGTCAACAGATTTGAAAGTTGGTCCAGCTTGGAGACCATGTGGCATCAGGTGCTGGAGATCGGCAACGATATCGTTAAAATTTCTGCTAGCCATCCAGAAGGAATCAACCTAATAGGTGAGAAACATTTCCACAAACGGTAACTACTTTGTGTTTTTTTTTTATTTCTACACATTACTGGTCTAAATTTCTGTTATTTCCTATATTAAACTATATTTCCTAATTACAGTATTTTAATTACTTTAAATTTGAATGTATGTGAACTGAATGACCACTAATAACTTTGCTTCAGTCAAAGTATATATGTCATTGTGTTCTTTTTTTAATTTATAGACACAAATGAAAATAGACAAGGTGGAAAATTTTAAAACCATGGTATTATCATTGTATTAAAACCAGTAACCATTCAAAAACCAACAGTTATAAAGGTTTAGCTTAGGTTAGGTTGCCTTTAACTGCACAAATTTTATTCTATATATTGTATCATTGTGTGTTTATTACTATTTTATATCTTGTTTTTCCTTCGAAAGATTTTTGAAATATATGTATTTGTTTTCTATACTATATATTTTATTTCAGGTTACTCCCAAGGAGGGCTGCTAGCGAGAGGTATAGTGCAAACCTTTCCCAATATCTCTGTCAGCACATTCATATCGTTAAGTTCGCCCCAGGCTGGACAATATGGAGGTAATCATTTTATGAACTAAAACATTTAAGTTCTTCTAAATATTAGATGTCAAATGTTTAGTTGAATAATGTTACCCTGACAGGTGGCGCCATTTAGGGTTTTGTTACATTTTCTCCTGAATTAATCAACTTTGTCTTACACAAAGTTTTTTTTAACCTATAAGTAATAAAAAATCTTATTTAAATACACATACAATGCTTTATAATTATCTATACATATATGAGGTCATTCAACATGGTTTTTATTATATTTGTTATTATTAATTTTTAACAGGGTAGAAGGTATAATATTTTATTAATTTATTTAAAAATACGTGATAATTAATGTAAAAAAATGTAGTTGGTTCTAGAACAAGGTCATGCAAAATTTGCTTTTATTTTTGGGGTTTTGACTATGATATAATTATAGTCAAAACACCTTATAAATTAATAAAAATGTTATAATTTAAAGAAATATTAGTAGTGTACGAGGTCTTACAAAGTTACTTGATAAAGCAGTCACAATAAGTTAAATGAATTAAGTAATAGGCAACTTGCCTCAAGTGGGACTTGTTCTGACAATTCAAAATATGTGATGCGTACATAGCTAAAATGTAAATGTAATGTGTACCTAGGTAAAAAAACAAATTGATATAAGCCTCTAACATACAGAGATACAGAAGATTTAAACTAAATATTCCAAAGATGTAAGATTTAATATTTATAAAGCAAAACACGAGTAAAGGAAACCATAAACCTGCGCTCCTTATTGGAAGACGATCATTCTGACTTATGAAATATCACGAAAGAATATTATCTACCTTATCACGATGACGATAAGTCAATCAATTAATGAGAATTTAGTTATTCCTGTTTTCTTTTTAATAATCGCCAATGTTGTCACCTTACAGCCAGCTTTCTCCACCTAGTGTTTCCTGGCCTCATCAAAGACACCGTTTGGGAGTTATTCTACTCCAGAGTGGGGCAACACACTTCTGTGGGCAATTATTGGAATGACCCTTATCATCAAACACTGTATGAGAGTTATAGTGTGTTCTTACCATACATCAATAATGATATTCCGTGAGTACCTACCTACCTACTTTTCTATACCTACAACATGTATCATATGCACACTCAAAATAGTTGAGAATATCAAAATGGTATGTGAGTACCAAATTAATTTATTTGTTTGAGTTTATCGATTTATAATTTAGTTTATTGAAGGCTATTATAACAAAACAATTTTCGCAACATTCGCTTTTGAAAAATTTCCAATAATTTGATTTTGAAATCTTTGGCATAGTAACACGCGTTAATAATAATTTAAAATATTTTTTGTATATGTTCATTTTTTTGTATAAATGAATTTCCAAATGTAATTTATATGTATGTTAAATGAAATAAATAGAATAATAATAATATAATATTCTCCTACATTCATACAACGCCATCTAGTCCGAAACTAAGCTGAGCTAAGCTGTACTATGGGTACTAGACAACAGATATAATATAGTGTATGTATATGTATATAGTTTTATTAAATTTATTACACATACTCGTATATAGAAATGCCCAGACCAAATCAAACATTAAATATTCATGCATACAAATAATTGACGTGAGCACGAATAAAATTAAAATAAGAAGTTACGCTAAAAATAATTAAGCCATTTACATAAAAGCGTCAAAAAATGTTCCCAGATGGCTGGCAACATTGCCATGTTGACACAGTACAACTTTGTGCTAGAAAATCTTCCAGTCACGATCCAGTTTCGATCAGTCGCCTGGTCGAAATTTTATGCAATTACTTTGTTGCCTGAGTAACTAACATTCATCATTCTGAACTTTCGTTGTAGAATAATGCTATAAAATTGTCACAAATTGCACTATCACGATTATGTTAGTACTTTGTGCAATCTATGATATAGAATCATAATTTTGAACCAGTTATCAGTCGGTTCCATGGTGTAATGGTTAGCACTCTGGACTCTGAATCCAGCGATCCGAGTTCAAATCTCGGTGGAACCTGTTTTTGGTTTTTATAATTTTATGAAAATAAATTTTATGAAATCTTAAATATGTTATAGAATAATATAAGTTATATTTATATATTTTTTTTACAATTTTTTAAATTTATACAATATTCTTTAAAAATATTTATGAACCTATATTATTATCAGTTACCACAGTACTAAATCAAGAAGATTTTTTTAAATAGTTATGAACAAACATAACTTTTTATAGGGTAGAGACGGCGTGCGGTTTTAGTCGGTTCGAGTCCGACATGCCACCGACAGGTGGTATCCGAGGGGATTTCCGCACGGAAAAAAAAGGGGTAATCTTATTTGGTTTCTTTTTGTTTTTTGTATTTTAATTACATTGTTGTTAAATAGATAAACTAGTAGTACATGGTCCGTTATATATACAGTAGTATTTTTATTATGTATCAAGAAAAGCTGGCTAACGTCAGCTGACGCGTGTCGAATCGAGGTCAAGATGATTTATTTATAGCGTCAACTTGTACATTCGTGATTCCCCTCGTCATTTCTTTATTTATCTCTACTTAACAACTAAAAGTGTTGCTAGCAAGTTGTCTTTCTCTGTCGGTCGGGTCCGATACGAGTAGAATTTACTGTGCTCATTTTTTTTAACCATATTGGCAAACAAGCACACTTCCCGACTTAGGGTATGATGTCTCTAAGGTTTCTCAATCTAGGTATATTCCTTCTCCCTCTCTCCCATTGACATTTTAAAATATTCTTTACGGACTCAATATTAAAATTTATAAAGGCATTTTTAAGACATCTCCCTCACTAGGAATATACCCTGTGTCGCGGGGGACTCTAGGAACATACATTAAACGGACATAAAGGACACCCAGACTTAGAGCAACAATTTGTAGATCATACAAAGTGTTGCCACATGTGGGGATCGAACCCACAACACTCAGCGCAGTAAGAAGAGGCGAGGTGAAGAGGAAACCACTACGCCATCTGTGCACTTATTTATGTTTTAGTATTGCAAAAGCTAAGATTAAATTAACGAATTATTTTTAATTGTTGCCAGTTCAGCCCAGTCAGAAAATTTCAAAGCCAACATGCTTAAGTTGAAGAAGCTTGTATTGATCGGTGGTCCCGAGGACCAGGTCATTACCCCATGGCAGAGCAGGTAAATATGCTTTAACCATAGAATTAGTATATCCCCCCCCCCTCCACATTACTATGAGTTTGATGAATGATGACTAAAGTTTTTGGATGCTCATGAACAAGGCCATCTTTGGGGCGTGTGTAAGCTAAAGAGTTAGAAATACCAGAACGTGTCAGAAATACAGTTGATAGAATAGCGTCAGAACAGCAATTTAGTAGTATCTTTGGTCACAAGCTATATAGATTTTGTTGGTGAGATCTTCTATAGGAATGGCGTCTTAGAAATAGTTCAACTTCCAGGAAATTTAATTCTTTCTTATATTCTTTAGAAATTAAAGTTTAAAAGGGGTATACATTTGGTATATTTGGATGCGTAAGTCAGAAGGAAAGGGATATGGTTTATGCGAATGTATTGGATAGTAAACACTAATAGTGCTTACTAATGACTGCGCCACAATGAGGATTAAGTTTTCTAGTGTATGTTTGTATATTGCTTTCGTAGGCTCTAAACGGCTTGAAAGATTTTGGCTTTTGAGGTTTTGTGAGATTCGTCTTAATTTTGAAAGTGACATATATACTGGGTATATAACAATTATACATTTCACGCAGTCGGTTTTTTTTTCAATAATTAGTTTGTTAAGTATGAAATTTTTAAACATATGAAATTAATATTACAGTCAATTCGGCTACTACAATTCTAACGAAACGGTGATAGAAATGCATGAACAAGACATCTACAAGGAAGACAAGATAGGTCTCAAGACCCTGGACGAGACTGGGCGACTGCACATCGTCACCATCCCAGGAGTGAATCACTTCAACTGGCACATAAATGTAAGCGTTATGGATGAGTATCTTATACCTCACCTGGACTAGGGAATCATTGAGACTAAATATTGCCAGGGGAAAGGAGATCTGGTGTTTTTTTAAATAATAATACTGATAAATCCAAGTGATAGGATTAGAAAACTGAGTGGTACTGATGATAACCATAAGTTTTTTAAATAGTTAACTCTAAGATACATTACATTTTTATGTAATTAATTTACAAAGTAATGTATTATAATAACATACTATATACTAAGTACAAAACTGTGAAGGCTAAACGGTAATGCGTGTGCGCATACAGACGTATGTGCCAATTACTATACCTAAGATATTTGTGATATTCGCATATGGCAACTAAATCATTTCGAAACCGTTTTTATATATAGAAAACTAAAAATAATGATTATGTGACTATAATCAAATCAACGTTTAGTGTGAAATTTGAAAACTTTGAATTAAAGCCTTGTATTCCTTTCCACCAATAAATAATATGAAACTACATCAAGCTAGGTACAACACTATTAAATAAAAAAAAATGGTGTCAAATAATTAGTTTACAGTAAAATTGTGTTCAGAATCTTCAGATCAGTTTTATTCCCGTAAGGATATTATTATACATTTATATGTGTATGAGTTTTAAATAACTTATTTCTTCACTAAAATATTTACAAATTATTAATGTTTCGAATACATTATGCGTTATTTATTTGGCGACGTCTACATACAATGAAAGAAAAACATACTTCAGCGCCATCCAACGAAAACACACCGAACTACGAAGTAACTACTAATCCTATATCGCGATTTTAAATTCTGTGGTAATACATAAGTACTGCTTCGAGAAGAACCCGGCCTCAGGGGCTAGGATGGAATTGAGTCCCGTCAGTCACAACTGCTAATGCAGACATTGCAGTGAGGGGTTGGCTCAATATAGGTAACCTCTCTCTGTAAAGATGTCATTTCGCAGAAGTTGACAGCGTTCCCGGACGAAAGTAATCACTTTCAATGTTTCGTTTGCTGATTATACATGCTATGATTGGAAAGGCCGAAGACGGACATACAAACTAAAACACTTCTACTGGTAATCCCCCAATACTGTCATTTGATTTGTAACTAGCTCGATGTAGTATAATATATTAATCTTTTTAAACATAATATAGGTTATTAGCTGACCCGGCAAACGTTGTTTTGCCGTATACATTATTTCAAAAAAAATTGTCAGACAAAAAACTTGATATGGGGTATGAAAAATAGATGTTGGCCGATTCTCATACCTATCCGATATGTACACAAAATTTCACTAAAATCGGTCGAGCTGTTTCGGTAGTGTTCAAGCACGCACACCGTGACACGAGAATTTTATATATTAGATATAACCAATGGGTTGTACATATTGGGCTAGCAACGTACCTAACTTTATTTTTTAATAAATCCACAATTTTTTTTAATATTCTTTTATTAGCCAATTGTACATTTAAGTAAGTTATTTTCATTTAAGAAATTATGTTTTTTTTAACTTACATTTTTTTATGTTTTCTTAAACATTTTTTATTCTTATTATTTATTAATGATTAATGCACGTTATTTAAAGATTTGTCCAAATTCGAAAAGATTGATCTTATCTTATGATGTTTTTTTTTTTAAATAAATCAGCCAATTTAGTAATAATTATATAGTGTTATGTGACGTACAAATTGGTCTCTGTGTTAAGACAAGTGTAGTTTAAATTAGATTTAAGTAAAACAGTGCTTATTTAAAAGTAGTGTCATATTGTAAGGTCAACAACTTATAGCTCTGTGTTTTCTTATGCAAACATTTAAATAGCAGTACTGGATCTCCATAAATTTGATTTCCTACAAACTCCGACTATTTTATAAAACGGCCATAAAAATTATGCCAATTATAAAAATTGATTTCCTACTTTAGAAATACTCGAGAATACTGGGTTTTATATGTAACTAAAGCTTAACAATAAATGTGACTAAAGGTATCTTGTAACTAATTTGAGTTACATAGTTCAAATCTAAGTGGCGTGCAATGGCAGAGGCCTATGTCCAGCAGTGGACTGCGATAGGCTGATGCTGATGATAGTTCAAATTACGTCCATTTTATTAAGGTCAACCTACATATTGTCACCTGCACGGATGGCGTTCAAACCCCACATGGGACGACACTTTGTGTAATCCACAAATTGTTGTTCTGAATCTGGGTGTTCTTTGTGTCCATTTCATGTATGTGTGTAAAGTCCCCCGCGACATAGGAATGCGAGAGTTGTCTTTTCTAATAACATTTTAAAGTTTGCCTTTTTAACTATTGTCGAGAATCAGAGTTCCTATTATAATAATATATCGCAATTGGTTGGAAAATTAAGAATCTATTAGAATACGAAGATAATTTTGTACTTATGTTTAAGAAAATTTTGCTAACGGAGGAATGTGAAATTTCAAAGACTTAAAGTTTATCTGTAGAGAATATGCAGAAAGTCATGATAAACAAAATGTGTAACAAATTAATAATAAATACTTGTCAACCACTACAACAAGTAGTATATAATTATGACTTATATATAGTTGTGACATAGTATGGAAAGGTATATAGTGATAGCTCCATTCACAAAAACAAAACAATCAGAACTGAATATAATAATGAATTATGGTTGAAGTCGACCATTCAGACGATATCTAATTAGTGGCCTATTCGAATTAAGAAAATAGTGGTGTATCGATCACTCCCCGACCCTTGACCAATCAGATTCCAAGAAACTATCATTTCGTACGAAAGCTTGGAACTTGATTGGTCAAGGGTCACTATTTTCTTAACGCAAATGGACTATGGTACTAATTATAATGTGATCTACTTAAGGTTTAATGGTAGCTGTGTGCTGGTTTCAAGAATGACTTTTTTAATATAATCATTCACTAGAAGATACAGTAACTGCAAGAATTGTGGGTGATTAGTATTTAAAAATAATGCCTGCTTGCCAGTATCAAGGCTGACTACTGCATATAATTATATTTACGGGGATTAACACCCTCGGGATATGTATTAACTACATTCTACACAAGTACATTTAAGCTGCTTGCATCTGTCTGTGACCACGGCCAGTGCAACCCGGTCGAAACTGACTAGTACGAACACGTCGCTTACTCCGTATGTTATGTATAAATGAAAGTGTGTTTTATATATATCGTGCATAAATCCTATTTTTGATATACCAATGATCTTTAAATTTTGATACTGTAAATGAAACTCAGTAATAATATAAGTTTAATTGGTTTACTCTAGTTTATTTGTAACATACTTTTGTGTGGTCCTACATATTATGGAGGCTTAGTTTTATTTAAATTTTATTGCTTATGAATCTTATTTTATATACTCAGCAATTTTGTTGATAATAAACATAAATATGTAAAGTTTTCTAGTCGTGTGACTCAAGTAATAAAATATTTACACCAATAATTAGATTTTTATTTTAAACTTCGAGATTTTTAATGAAAAAAAAAGCTTTTGGCGCCAAAATGCACCTATTCAAAAATGAAAAAGTTTTAAAGGATGATTATGTACCAAAAAGTACTATGTTTAGTTAATGAGTTTTAAAGTATTCTGGTTTTAACTCTGTTTTAATTTGTCATTGCAGCTTTGTTTAGCATGATAATCGTGCCTTCTACAAAACATTTGACTGCACGGATGGCGTAGTGGTTGAACGATCACCTCGCCGCTTCCTACTGCGTTGAGTGTTGTGAGTTCAATCCAAATGCTATCACTTTGTGTGATTCACAAGTTGGTTGTTCTGAGTCTGGGTGTCCCTTTTTTCCGTTTCATAAAGGTCCCCGTGACACAGGATTTGTCTTTACAAAAAACATAATAGCACCTTTTTTTTTGACGGGGTGGAAAATCCCTTCAGATCTCCTGCTCCTCGGGAACTCAGGAACCAGGAGTATATGGTGATTCCTCTCAAAACCACCCAAACGGCCGGCCCCAGGTGTCCTACTCTGGGAGGACCCGGACGGTGTTATTTCAGGTCCTACCCGAATTGACACCATGCGTAATCGGGCCCTATCCCAGGGAAAACCCTTCCCCCCTCAATCGAGGCGTGGCGGGGTGATTACATCTTAATGCAACCAGGCTGCCATTCTATCCCCACATAATTACACCTCAACATTGGCGATGATGATGATGTGATAATACTAAGTCTACAAATTAATTAAAATATGGGTATGGAGAAACTAACCAAACTACTATTTGTTATAATGATATGCTTATCTCATAAAGAAATATTCGGCAGGTATTTTATTGCATAAGGTCGTCATGAGATCATCTAGGTCACTGTCCAGGCGACAGCGTGTCTGTGTTTTCACGCATAAATACATAGCATTATTGAGAGACTTGTTTTGAGATGACGCGTAACATTATAACAAAACAAGTTTATTACCGATCCAGTCAGGATCATTCAATCAAGGAAATCATTATATTGAAAATTCTTGTGTCTATACCATGCAAGAAAAACACCAAAGAATTTTAACGAGCAGGCCGGTCATCTGATGGAAAGTGACTACGCTTGCCATTCAGGAGTCACAAGCGCGTTGCGGGCCTTTAAGGACGAAGTAGACTCTTTTCTTGAAGGTTTGAAGATAGTATCGGTCCGGAAATTGCCGTATTTCCGGACCGATACTATCTTCAAACCGAAATCATTATATTGAAAATTCTTGTGTCTATACCATGCAAGAAAAACACCAAAGAATTTTAACGAGCAGGCCGGTCATCTGATGGAAAGTGACTACGCTTGCCATTCAGGAGTCACAAGCGCGTTGCGGGCCTTTAAGGACGAAGTAGACTCTTTTCTTGAAGGTTTGAAGATAGTATCGGTCCGGACATTGCCGTATTTCCGGACCGATACTATCTTCAAACCGAAATCATTATATTGAAAATTCTTGTGTCTATACCATGCAAGAAAAACACAAAGAATTTTAACGAGCAGGCCGGTCATCTGATGGAAAGTGACTACGCTTGCCATTCAGGAGTCACAAGCGCGTTGCGGGCCTTTAAGG